CGTGATGCGCCCACCGGGTGAAATGTAGCTGCTCAAATAACAAAACGTATCCACTTGCTCTCTCACTTCCTCAGTAAGAGTTAGTCTGGGTGCTGAATCAACCCTGTCTTGTAATAACGTTTTGAAAGTGTAAAACGCATACCGAACATGCTTACGCTGGTACTCAAGCCGTACGGAAAAATTTTCAACTTACCTGGATCTTCACCTCACAGCACAATGTCGTCTGCATACTCTAGATCAGACAGTTGGCCACTATCCTCGCATGAGAATAGTACTGTTTTCATAATCCAATCTATAAAAAGGTTAAACAGATATGGGGAGAGAGGGCAACCCTGTCGAATACCACTTTCTGTAGTGAACTCGGGCGAAAACGTGCCGTAAGCCCGGACTCGACTTTGATCATTATTCTAAAGGAATCTTAATATTGAAATTAACTTCTAGGGCACACCCTTCAGAGAGAGTCAGTGCCAGAGCTTAGAGTGGTCGACTGAGTCGAAACCCAGCCTCAGATCAAGGAAGACAGAGATGGTGGGTCTGTGGAAAGAATCTCGGTGCTCCAGAGTTTGGCGAAAAGTGAAGATGTGGTCAATACAACCTCGACCAGGTCTAAATACAGGTTCTTACGCGTGCACCATTCACGTGAGATAGACAACCAACGGAGTTTGATGCCAACGAAAAGTTTAGAAGCAATGTTAATTAAACTAATTCCTCTGGGGTTTTCACAGGAGGATCTGTCACCTTTCTTATAAATCGGTATAATGACCGATTCATCATTCAGTTGGAACCTCTTCCATCTTCCACACTAGACCAAGAAGTTTCGTTAACTCCAAAACCAAGGCTGAACAGATCATCTGGGCCGGAGACCTTATGTATTTTGAGAAAATTTATTTCCCGGGAAATTTCCATTTCAGATAGAGGACTGATGTCAACTGGGAGTATTTGCCCAGTTGAGGTTGGAGGATGATAGTACAGATATCGATGGGGGCCAGTTGAACTGAGCCTTGAAATGTTCAGCCCAACGGGAAAAACGGCGTTGCTGATGGTGAATCAGTGTGCCATCGGATTCCTTAATGACCTCACTTACGCCTATTTTCCTAGGACCCGTATTCCTAATTAGACGGAACAGATTGCGACCATTACCAATAACCTTCTCCATCTCTTTACACGTTTCTACTCACCACTTCTCGCGATCATTCCTCAGACTCTTGATGAACTGGCACTTGAGTGATTTGCGCGCTGTGTCATACGTGGCATCAGGAGGAAGGGTTCTGTGGGTGTCCAGCAGGGCAGCCGAGGTCGATGAGATCCATCGTTTATGTTTTGAGCCCGTGGCAGGGTCCGGCGCTGTTTTTATTTATACTTGCATAGCTTCCTTGTTTTTCTTTCAGTGTTTACTGAGTTCTCCGGCTGGTGGCTGAACTGACAGGCGATCGGAGACTTCCGCTTCGAAGGCCGATTTACAGCATCGCTAACACTGTGCCGTGGGTTTCCGTTGTCGGTGGATTTTTGTGGTTGTTTGCCAGGTGTAAGGAGAATTTGGCTAGTGGATAAGCATGGACCGCTTCCACAGGTCTTAACCAGTTAGAACGGCAGTCTTGAATCGACCCCCTCCAGCGGTAACTGACGGCGATGTGGTCGATTTGGGTCCAGTGCTGTGAAGATGTGGGTTGTTTCCATGTAAGTCGGTTTCGTTTCTTGTTCGAGAAGTGGCTGCTTGACAGGAACATTTCGTGTTCCGTGCAGAGTTGAAGGCGATCTCCGTAGTCCGTCCTGTTGTTTGGAATTGCATGTGGTCCGCTAAAAAACCTTTCTGATTCGTCCAGTTATCCCATTTGTTGTGGCCTGCAGTCGGGTGAAACGTTTACCGCACATCACGTGATTGACCGTTGCGACCAGCCACCACACGTAAGTACGCACGTCACGCGGACTTACTCTGTTACAAGCTCTATCCGCCTCAGCAAATCAGAGGTCAGTATTGATCTCTCCTCATTGGTTGGTTCGTCGACTGCCCAGCGTGACGACGTACTCCTTTTGAGAACACTTGCACGAGTGGGTGCCGGCCTGCCTGGCTGTGTGTTGACGCACTGCTTGCTCAACAGCCTACGGACCAGCTACGTTTGCATTTACATACTAGAAACAGAATAACTACTTAATTCACTGCTTGGGCATTTATTTACTCATATAGAATACAACACCACTTGAGCATTGAAGTCTCTGGCGACTACTATGATATCCAGTTTACCTGCTTCTGTAGGACAAGGTATATTGCCCGCACGGGCAGACGTTCATTTGGACGAGTCCGTGAGCACCACGGAGTGAATAGTTGAGTTGTGGACTAATAGTGGAGTAATTAAGACCATCAACAGCTCAGTCGTTTCACACGTGGTTGATGTGACCAAGGCCCAGATCCCTCTAGTTAGTTCGCAACTGACGATCTAAGAGCATTAGGAGTCGCATCTTGGCCACAACAGAAGCAATTGGAAATCACCTACGTAATCTCCCTCTGTGCTCGCAAAAACAACTCGTAAGAACACTCGGTCTTCCTCGGACAACATCACACACGACACAGCCATCCCACCACCTAACTCTGATGNTGAACCCGTGCGCATGTATGAGGACCAAAGTGTGAGCAACATGTGATCATGGTCATAGAATGTTGATTACTTATTTTTCAACTTGTCATAATTTCTCTTCCCTACTAAACAGCTTGATATAAATTGGGATGTATTAGCCCGTAGAAGAATCACCGCAAACGAGCTTGTCCGCTGTTTTCTTTACATGTGTAATGATGGTTTATTCAGATAATGTTGTTTACTATCAAAACCTACAGGTGTGACCAGTCAAAGGGCTTTTCAACATCACAGGATTCAACCACTTTGTTCATCATTTGGGCAGTGATCTGCATTTTGCAGTCTTATGAAGACTGATTAACATATATTAGTTTGCTTTCAGAATGATGCCTGCGCTGCCATCTAATCTGCATTATGCTATTGGAGGTTGAAAGCGCTTGTGGTGATCCGTTTGGACCAAAATCACCAAAACAAGATGCCCTAAAGCTGAAATGTTTGAATTTTCGAGCCGTGAGCAGTCACAGACGCACTCAGAACACAGGTCGGAGACAGCCACGCAAAGAAGAGCGAAGTTTGGTATCCAAACCACCTACAGAACAAGAAAACACGCATGAACAAGGTCCAGTGAAAAGTTCGTACACGAACCAGGCGTAATCCATAATGGTGGCGGTGATGAGCTGCTTGTAGCTTGTGTTGCAGTTCCCTTTGTCACTTCGACATCTGAAATTACCTCCTTGTTTCGCCTAAGTTGATGATACGTGATCACACAATCAAGAATATGCGGACGCTCCCATTCAGTAGCTCAGCCTTCAACTCAAGGTTTGCAGGCGCTGTCACCAACACGCCTTTTCNGCCTTTTCCAATGTACTTTACCTGGGTGATTTACAGCCAGCGGTAATTCGGCTGGGGCAGTGATAACGAGATCGTACCCGTTTTACTGAGTCACGTGTTGTATATTTTATCGGCTGAACCTTTTTTCAAGGAGTGGCGTCGATTAAGGTAAAAACGCGGTTTAGCATGATTTGCAATTCAGTTTCATGGTCGCACGATAAACCAGCAAAATAACTGAGGTGCAGAAAATTACCCAAAAATTAGGCACACGGATCAGAACAGCTGAAGGACTAAGTAACGTTTTTGGATTTTATTTTGTTGTTGCTGTTGTTATGATAAAATGATCACTCCAGTCTTCATTTGCTTCATAGGAGGAGGAATGATGCAAAGTAGGGGTATCGAGCGTGAATTTCTGGAGTGTGAGTTTACTATTCCACATACCGCTGGCATTCTGCACTTTTACGACCAAAATGCTGATCAGTTGCTTCCTCATCTGGACCGTTATCAACGTCAAAGCTTTGCACGCCCTGTTAGCCAAGTTCACACTCTCACCTGCTCGAATAGACTATGATCCTGCAGCATCATACCGTTTGCTCGGAATACGATTTAGCCAACCAACCTTTACTCTTACAAGATGTAGTCTTGGGTTGTATGAACGGAAACTATGAGACATATCGTGTACGTAAGACGAAGGTACTTGCATTCTGTAGTCCTTTTTGGATCATGTGATACTCACAAAATTAAGTTCGGGCGGTATGCAAATTAATTTGAGAATCAGGAAATGTAAGCCGCGAGAAAAACACGTATCTTGGTCTTCGAAAAATGACAATGAGCTAATGGCACCATTGGATAAAAGGTTAAGATTGTGAGCACCGAGGAGAACCAGAACCGGGGAACCGGAGATCAAGCAAAGACTCACAGACGTGTGACAGGAGCTCTCAATACCAGTTATACCTGCTTAACAACTGGGATCGGTAATATAACCCACTACTTGGACTGTTTGTTTTTCATTCAAAGAACGCGGATTATGCTCCATAAGTACACGCGTCAACGAAAGATAGGTTTGAATGGCTAACTTTGTGGTTTGGGATTTTCAAGCCATTTACTGTTCTACGGATTTCATGTTTGGTGAAGCAAACAGAATTTTTTCCAGGGGCAGAAAAATTCGACTAAATACTCCCGAACAATATTTTGTACAGTTAAGATTGATTGCAGTGCCACATCAGTGTGACGGCAACCACCGATTCAGTATCGATCGATAACCTGTTATTCCTTCTATTCTTGGCGTCTGAACACATACGGACCTACCCGTGGACACAATAACGTTGCGAACCCACTTTCAATCAACGCTTGGTATTCACCGCGGATTTTGCAACCGACGAGACTTTCACAACTTGCCTTATTGTGGTGATCTTCATCTACCAAATAACATCAACCACGGTGCGACGCGTTGCAGTATCTGGGCAACGAACCACAGGCCAATCAGAAATCTTGCGGGTAAAACGGAAGTTGTATGATATCAAGCAGGTCATTGGAGAAGACCTGCTTAACCGATGATGTTTGTTTGCGCACATTATTCCATCCCATCGATTTTCTTCAACGAATGAGTAGCTACTTTTTCCGAGGTCTCGGTGAAGGGAGATCCGGGAGTACGATTGCTAGCGCGATTCGGTGCTTCAGCGGCGACCGCAATTCGTGATCCGTAATCCGCACATATTTGGATTACTTCACTTAACTAGGCAGTGTCCATCCTGTGGGTTATGGTTGCCCTATTCCGAAAGCTCAAGTGGAATCACGTGATTATTGAACAATTGCATTGGGACATACAAGAGTAAGCTTTTGGCGAAGTGGCAGTCCTATGAATTACAACATTTCAGAGATCGTTAAACGGATGGTTTCTGGAATCAGCAATTTTGGTTTTGGATATTGGGGTTTACACAGAAATGTGACAACAACGAAGCTCCACCATAATTATTATCCCGGCATCTTTCCGCATGTTATCGTTAACCACCCCAACCCCCGCAACTGATGGTCAGACAGCTCATTACTATAAGTAGGAACCAAACCAGTTTTGATTATCGCTTGAGCAAACTGATTTCTCTTGAAGCAAGTATTTCCTGAAATAAAGTTGAACAAAGAACACAACACCGCAAGCGAGCACGATTTAATTCCGGAATCTTTTCGCAGCATCTCAACTAGTACTTACTGCAGAATACAAATCAATTTATATATCAGAGGTGTTGATAATCTAACATGGTATCAATTCACTCTTTCGCCTACGTGGTTACCAGGGCAATGCCAGATTGATGCGGGCCTCCTTTTTGACAAAGCAGGGTCTTTCGGTGCCTGATTACTATGGCCTCTGCAAATCTCAGCAGCCGTCCATTCGAGATTGTGTCAACAACCCGAAAAGAAGTTCCGCGGTCCGCTTGGTGGCCAATCTGTATCAGATTACCTAGCAATTGATAATGCAGATGTTCTGTGCGGCTGGCTTGATGGGCTGGTTGTTCGTGTAGCGCTCAATCTGATCCGTTCGCGTTTGACCTATGCTGGTTTATGTTCTGCCACTATGGTGCACAGTTGCCTCTCTGTTCTGCCCACGTACGTGGCTCCGTACCCACAGTGAAATTCATAGATAACGTGTAATTTGGCGGACAGAGGGAGTGATGATTTCATCAAGGGCTTTGGAATCTGGGTTGTGGTGAAGCGGACGACCGGATTTGCTGCAAAATATGTGCTGGCTACCGATGCCACAAACCACATCGTACAAGTTGGTCTATATCGTCACCCTTGAATGGCAGTTAAATGAGAACGTCGCATTTTGGTGCTGCCATTCCCGAGGTCTTGGGTTCGGCTTGTAAACTGTACCTTTGGGTAAAGCTCGCTGGGTAAACACTGAGCTTTAGATTTTCCGTGAGCGGAATTAGCTCACTCTCCACATTATCCGGAGTTCACAACCTCCTAGCTCGATCAAACAGGGTACGCAAGAAATCTCATTTGTTTTGGCTGGGAGCAAAACTCCCCACGTGCATATACTGGCCGGTCCACGTGGATTTTCTATGCACGGACCTCAAGGTAGTTCCGTCTGGTCTTCGACAAATAAGAATATCCAGAAGTGAGGGTGTGTTGTTTTTCTCTGTTTCCATAGGGAATTTTAAAACGTTGTGAAGTGAGTTCAATTAAACTAACAGCTCCCCAGTCTCCCTGGCGCTTCGGGTGATTATCAACGTGTCGTCGACGTATCTTCTATAGAATATAATGCCGTTTAATGTCCTACTGGCTTTGTTCTCAACACTAGCCATGAATACGTCAGCTAGAATAGGACCCGACGGGCTGCCCATAGCCAAACCATCGACATGTCTAAATCGCCGACCTCAAAAACTGAAGTGTACATCCGTTGTGCGCTTCAGAACAGAAAGAGCATATCCCAACTGAATTTGTTTCTCCAATAAGTAGTCACAAATGATTTCTATACTTTCTACAACAAGCACATTGGTGAACAAAGAAACGACGAAAGATGCCAAATGACACTCATTTATGTTTAGCTCATCGAGAACCTTTATAAGTTTAAATCTATCCCTCAAGGAGTACTTTGCAATGGATTTTCTTACCGGATCCAGTATTTTAACGAGCCACTTGGCCATATTGTGTTTTGGAGAATTTCGCATGGACATGATTGGTCGAAGTGGTATACCAGATTTGTGCACTTTTGGTAACCCATACGTTCGTGGTGTTTGAGTACCGATTGATTTGAGTTTTCTGGCGGTGGTTTCATTGATGAAATTTCCTTCCAGTAAAAACTTTATCTCTGGTGATATCTTCCTTTTGAGTTCGCGAGGATCCTGAGATCTTTTCACTTCAGGCACTAACTTTGATTCGTTAGTTAGTAGTTAACACAATTTTTCCTCATATTCGGCCATATCCATAACAACGGTACCAGATCCTTTGTCCGGTGGAAGTACGGTCAACTCCGTATTTGATTTGAGACCATTTAGGGCCTCAATGTGCTGTTTTATCAAAGCGGACTGTTGTCTTGATGGCATTATTAGGTATTGTTGTTCAAGATCAGACAGCTTTGACTTCAGTCAACTGACCGAATCCTGCGAGCGTGGAGTTAACTGCTTGAGTTGGTCGAAAAATAATTCGAACTGCGCACGTGACTCTATTGGGTTTATCTTTTGCCAGGGACAATGTATCTCGTTGGGATAAAGAATTCTAATAACTCCAAATAATAGTAATGAACATACCCATAGGGTCACAGAATAGATTGCTTTTCATTATTTCGCATGAAAACACAACGCTCGGATATACCTTCTTTCAGGTTCCGGAACGTTTGAACTTCGAAACTACGGCACCCATGAAAGATAACACTTCTAATTTGTGAGCAGTGTGGATTAGCCTCTGTGTCAATATAATTTGGACAGTTTCAACTGGGTTTCAAATGCAGACTGTGAATCAACGATGCACCAAACACGTTCTGATGAGGTGTTCTCTATTTAAGAAGTATTACAGTTTTGGAGAATCATGGTTTCTCATCGATTTCCGGAAATCACCGGAGAAGAAACTCGTTCATGGATTTGACGTCCATTAGGACTATGCACCAACAAAATAATAAATCCATAGCGTGACAGAACCCCACCGTATGTTGGTCTAATCTGTTCATACGCAGGTCATGCTAGCAGTGAACGAGTCCATCGGGATCGTCGAGGTCAAACCTTTTTGGCCCCTGGATATCACATGGTTCCATGCAGACGTCTACTTGGTGTGACTTTTAGGCCACGTAACTCCATCATCATTATGTAGGTCTGTTATCTGTCAAATTG